CCCTCGCCCCTCCCCCTCCCCCCATCTCCTTGTAGCCCTAGCTGATCTAGAACTTATCATGTAGACCAGGCTGCCTTTGAGTTCACAGAGAACTTGATCCACCTGCTTCAGCCTCCTGAGTGCTTGTATTAAAGGTGCACCACCGTGCCCGGCCGGCTCCATTTCCCTTCTTGCTTTTATTACACCACTTTGGCCCTTAAATAAGCTACTGAGTAGCTGTGATATTATGCCTCAGTGACATTTCCCACTGTAGAGGGAAGACAGCAATATTTTACCTTTAAATGTGAGTTTATTATATTATTCTATACTATCTTTTAAATTTTTACATAGGTAGGGTATATATTGAATCCAGAGACTTGTACATGCTTAGCATGTGTTCTACAGCCTAGTGGACCAGCTACTTTAGTCAATCCTATTAACTTCTCAGCCTATGAGTGTTTTCTATGCCTGTATGTAAGTGTACCTATGCATGCAATGCTCAATCAGATCCCGGAACTGGAGTTACAGATGGTTGTTGGCTGTCGTGTGGGTGTTGGGAACCAAACCTAGGTCTTTCGCCAGAGCAGCCAGTGTTCTTAACCACTGAGCCATCTCTCCAGCCCCAAATTAAAAATAATTTATTTTTTATTTATTGATGTGTCTGTGTTCACACACATGTCTGAGAGTGCCCATGGAGGCCAGAAGAGGGTGTCAGATCCCATGGAGCTGGAGTACCAGGTATGTGTGAGCTGCCCAACATGCTGGGCCCCAACTCCAGTCACAGCAAGAGCAGTAAGCGCTTGTAAAATCTGCGTTCAACAGTTTCCAGTACTCGGTACAACACTGTGGCCCTCCACGGTACCACAGTCTCTGGCTTTGCTCAGCCTTCGTGTCTACAGTCTACACCCTTCGATTTATGTCTTTTCCTCTCACCCCACCCCTGTGTCCTCTGTCTTCTGTCTGTCTTTCTTTTGCAGGCTTCAGGAATGAGGAGGATCAGGCAGGGCGTGGTCTCTCTTTCTGCTGGCCTGCTTCATTTACCATAGCAATCTCCGTTTCCTACAGGAGATTCAAGAATAATCTCTGCATTAATTTACTCATTTTGAAGTTTTAGAAATAGACAAAGCTTGATACTATCAATGCAAAACTCAACTCTTGCTCTGAGTTAACTGAGCCACTATGGCCCGGGAACATGGATTCAGGCTGCCCTGTTTGAAAGTGTTCCATGAACTTTGATAGCCACAGCACAAAAGACAGTCATAAATAAAAACACTTTCAAATACACTGGTGCGATCATCAGGCAGGTGGGTTACAGCAAAGGGGGGGGTCTCTACTGTAGGCTTCAGATGCTGTCTGATGACGTTCTTAGCTTTGGTGGAAATGAGTGGTCTGCTAGATTAATGTATTCAAGTACAGATGGCGGAGAGGATGTTGAGTCAGATGCAGAGGTGGGTGAACAATAGTTGTGGAGATAATTTGGCTCTTGATCTGCAGCATTCCAACCCACACATCGTGAAAGTCTAACCAATCAAGACAGGTGAGGCTTTTTTGGGGGAATGGTGGGAACCAGTTCATATTACCCAGAAGAGAAAAAAGTATATATGGGGTCTGAAAAATAACTGTTCAAATGTTTTTCCTCTCCCATATAATAAATGATTTTTGAGAATTATGTTTATATCTATAATATATTAAAATATAAATGTTTCTCTTCATTTCTCTTAAAAGGAAAAAATATCTTCCCAGGTACACACCTGTAATGCTAGCACTTGGGAGACTGAGGCAGAGCATGGTCAGTTTGAGGCTAGCCTGGGCTATGCAATGAGACTCTGTCTCAAAAATAAATAAATAAAACAAAGGAAGTGTGGGAATGACTTTTCTGTGGATGCCCCTTGTTTTACTTAACCTTGTAACCCAAACTGATCTTATGTTTTGAGATCATTTGACACTGTCTATTCAATCTGCCCACCTACTGCATAGTCAGTCTGTTTAAATCTAGGGAATCTTTAGGAAAACAGTGTAAATACTCCTACTGGGCCTTGGGCTCCTTGTAATAAACTTTTATAAACTAAGCTAAACAAATAACTTTAATCTTAGATGATGTTCCATTTTCCCCTCATGACACTTCCTTGCCCCTGGCCCAGAATACTGTGTGTGTGTGTGTGTGTGTGTGTGTGTGTGTGTGTGTGTTGTGAAAATTTCATCTCTGGAAGCAGGAATATTAAAAGCAATGAATTATCCACAGTATATGTTACAAACATGTGGGCTTAGATTGATAACATTTGTTTGTGGTTTTGTCTGCTGTTCTGGGACAGGAGGAGTCAGAAAAAGCAAATTATACCCTGATAAGACAAGAAACTTCATTTCCTTTTCTATGTCATGCTGGATATGTTTAAATAGAGTCACACTTTGGAGAGGAATCATAAGGAATGGTTCAGAGAACAGATTGGACTCATCCTTGGTTTCAAAGACTTCAAGAGTCAAGCTGTGTTTGTTCAGGTACAACTGCATTGTGGCATCCCCCTCAGTGAAGGAAGGAAGGGAGGAAGGAAGGAAGGGAGGAATGGAGGAAGGGAGGGAGGGAGAGGGCGGGGGAAGAGAAACACTTACTTCTGTCAGCCAGGAAATCCTTTTTATTTATTTATTTTTTTTGGTCTTTTTGAGACAGGGTCTCCCTGTAGCTCCAGCTGTCCTGGAACTCACTATGTAGACCAGGCTGGCCTTGAACTCACAGAGATCCATCCGTCTCTGTGTCCCGAATGCTGGGATTAAAGGTGTGCACCACCACGCCCAGCTTTGTGCATACGTTTTCTAAGTTGCTTTCCTAGAAGGAAGTTGAGCCGCTCTCATGGTTACCCCTTTGATTTGTGCAGGTAACTTTGGTCACCTGCATGTCAACCAAACACTGTTAGTCAGCTTTGGTTATGATCAGTCCGTCATATTGGGTTTATAAAGTGAGAGAACGTTCTAGATGGTTTTCTATGATACTCCAGTTGGAAGTACCACCCAAGTGCACAGCTCATAGCAAAGAAAACTTTGAGTCAAGACTCCCATTATTACTTCTGAGGACAAGTGTTATCCAGGGACCAGGAGAGTTGTTAGAAAGAGGTAAGGCCCGGTGAGCTTGGGAGGGTGGGCAAGTATGGGGTCTCTTCCTCCCCTCATGGATTGTTGGCCACCGATCCATGAGGACAAAGGGAGCAGAAGCGACGAGCAGGGTCAGGACGGCCAGTGAGCACTGACGGAAGAAAGCCCTTCCGGGGAGGCAGGTTCAGTGATACAAACAGCTCCAGACTCAGTCAAACAGCTCCGTTTATTCAGTGGGGGTTAGGGAAAATATAGTGTGGAGGCAGCAGCCAAAGCCTCAGCTGATAGGTGCTCATACTATGCTTTATTTACATGTGGCAGTGGGCTCCTATCGTCGGACTATCAGGCAATGCCTAATTATCATATAGAAAAAACCTGGGGGTAGTTTTATTGCAGGTAACTATGCCAAAGGTCATGTTTCAAATGAGGGCAAGCATCTGTGCTTGGTGGCACTTTCCAGGTAAGTCAGGCAGGAAGCCCCTGCTGAGAAAGGAGCCAACATAACAGCAGGGTTCCCCAACAGGCAAGGGGGGGCAGGAAAATGATTGCCTGAAAGTCTTTCTCTCCATCCCTCCCCTTCTCTCCCTTTCTCCCATTCCACCTCATGTCTCATTACTAATTGGCCCGGAACCCTGTTAGCCTCAAACTCATGATCCTCCTGCCTTAGCATCCTGAGACAGCACCCACTACCACATCCTGCTTTTGAACATCTTTTCGTCTGTTGCCGCCAGCACACCCCACCTCTCCCGTGCATCCCAGCCCAGCTGTTTCTCCCCAGGGGCCCAGGCCTAGTGGCAGCTGTTGAAGTTCATGCTTGCAGCAGCCTCCTCCAACCCCCGCACCCTTCCGTCACACAGAAAGCAAAATGGAATCCTTTCTGACATCCCAGCTTCTCCAACCTACACAGCAGACTCCCCCAGCCTCCTCTCCCCCAATGTCCAGCTGTGGGGCCTCTTGGGGTGAGTCCTCGCTCCTAACTTTTGAGTTGAAGACAACCTGCTAAGAATAACCTAACCCTTACTTCACAGGACCCACGTCAACCTGTTCTGCGGTCTGTCCTTCCTATATGCTCCCCATCAACCCCCTCAGCTTCCAGCAAATTTTACAACCAAGGTCACACATGAGGACTCCGCTGCCCTGGGGACTTAGAAGTTCCTGCGGAATGGAGTCTGTGTATGGTGTGTGCTGTGATGGTCTGATTCAGGCTCCATCTTTTGTCCACAGGGCTGTAGTTCTAAACCTGGGCCTCAGTCCCCTGGATGCACAGAAATGCACAGCACAGCACTGACCTGCCCCTCTGGGGCTGCCTGCCCGGCTTGGGTGGAGCCCCTTTGGTCATCTTAACAAAAGCAGTGCCCCTGGGCCCAGCACTCTCCTGTGATGCTCCTGTAAGTCTGGCTGTGCTCACTTACAGGCTGCTCCCTCCCCTTCCGTCTCTGCAGCCATACCACCAGGGCCACCTGATAGCCACATCCTGATTGAGTTACAGGGCGCTGTGGTGATGCCATTGCCTGCGATGACAGAGGCGACAGAGCTGAGTGACTTTGTGGAAATACTTCCCAACTGGACCCCCCTGCCAGCTGTTAACCCTCAGGTGCTTATTTATAATGAAAAAAGAAATTATTCCTGCTTGGAATGATGGCGGCTCTAGAAATGGTAAGTAAGGCGGTGCGGAGGGAGTCAGTGCTTCCAGAAGACGCTCTGAGGAGCGTTCGACCATCCACACACAGCGGGTTGGGAGGAGATGCTCCTCTAGGGCTAATCGTCCAGAAAGTTTTTCCTTATGAATTTTTATTCTTTTCATAAATGACATAATTTGCAGTCTCCTGACAGTAAACAGATGTATCAGTAAGAATCAAAGCAAAAACAGGCCAAAGGTAAAGCTATTAGTTCTGAGGTGTCCTGCCAAATTTCTCTTGCACTAGAGAAGTTGTTTGTCTCTCTGGCTGAGCGGTTACTGAGGCTGTGAGGAGCAGTTGGTTTTAATGGCGGTCACTCCTTTGGAATGTGGAGGAACACAGCAGGTAGCCCAGAAGGAGATGGAGAGAGGTCCGGTATCAGTGCTCATCAGCCTGCAGGGGCCTTCAGCAACCATGGAAGCAGATTCCTACAGTACCCCAGCTGGGTGCCTGAGAGGATGATCTGGAGCTTAACGGAGCAACTTGCATCTCTGTGCTCCCTCAGTGCCTGTCTGGGGACCATGGACGCTTCCATGTTATGACAGGAGGGTTCTGTTGTAGGAAACAGAGTCCCCTATGGGTTTCTCCTAGCCACTCCTTACCTGGCTGGGTGGCCTGGGTCCCAAGGGCTCGGATACTTTCGTTCCTAATTAGGTCATGCCTGCATGAGCCAGGGAAGGGCTGTTGGTGGGGAGCTACAAACCCTCTGACAGTGGCCCTTCCCTGGTACCACTTACTTTTTTGGGACACACATATTATGTAAGTATCAAAACGTTTTACGTCTATGACAGTTATACCCTATGGCTAGAAAAGAATTGAGTTTAGGGACGGAGAGAACGATCTTGGAAGCCGCTCTGAACTTGCTTCTGAACAGTGACAGAGTGACTTCTATGTGGTAAAGGGACTTACCGCTCAAAGAGCCTCTTGATTGGTTTTAAGATCGACTAAGCAGAGGATGCCATTGTTGTTATCTGAGAATTAAGATTCCGCTTTTTCGCTGACAAGTCGCCATCTTGCTGTTTGCTGTAGTCCAGAGACAGTTGTGTTCTCAGTAGACAGGTGTTTGAGATGAATCCACAGAGTGGGCTTCGCGTCTGACTGCAAGGATTTAAAGTAGGGCAGAGGCACTCCCAGTGCCAACCCCGCCCACAGGGGGCAATGCTTTCTGTTCATCCCTGCCAAGCAGGTGGAGGTGGAGGCAGAGCCCAACATCAGAGGCCCTGAGGTAGTCACCATGGGGGAAAATGACCCTCCAGCAGCCGAAGCCCCCTTCTCCTTCCGATCCCTTTTCGGCCTGGATGATTTGAAAATAACTCCCGTGGCACCAGGTAAGTGGGACAGGCGGGACCCCGTGATGCCCCTTTGTGGAAACAATGTGGATGAGTCTCTCCCCCGTCCCGGGTAATCTTTGCATATTCTTCCCTCCCCATATCTCCCCCTCCTTCCCCCTTTCTGTCTCTCTCTCTCTCTTTTCCCTCTCTCGCTCTCCTTCTCACAGCACTGGGGATTGAACCAGGACCTCATACCTGCTAGGCCAGCTCTGTCCCACCCTCCCTGGGTAGTCTGCCACCTGGACACCTGCCTGTCCTTAGGACTGTAGAACCCCAGAGAGGAGGGGCGCTCAGGAGGGAGCCTTTGCCTCTGGTGCTTGCTAAGTCCATGAAGAAAGTGTTTTACTCTCTTCCTGGAGGTTCTCAGAGACTGGGGTCCCCTAGCTGCCCTGTTCACCCTAGAGCAGGTCCAGTCCTCACCAGGAAAGCTCTGAGCCCACCGAGAAGTCCCTAGAAGCAGTGGCCACATCCCTTCTAGAAAATGTACTAGACAAGCTATGTTAAGTATCTGAATTAAAATGGGCTGTCCCCAGCCTCCGAAGGAAAGAAAGCTGGTCTTGAGTCGCACACATTGAATGTTCCGCTGGGGTCTTCGCAGTGATGATCAGCCAGTGAGCCTTGGCTTGCTGGTCTTGGCAGCAGGATATAGGTGCAGTGGGGACATGACCCCTAGAGCTCAGTGGGGAGGGGAGAGAAGGGGGGCAGCTCAGGCCGAGGCCTCAGACAGCCTGTAGTGAGGATTCACCAAGGGTTCTGTTTAAGCCAGAGGGACAGTTGACAGACGATGGAGGACAGGGTAAGAGGGGCAGTTCATGGACCGGAAAAGATCCCCTGGGAATTCCATCTCATGGGCGTCACAGTGACGGCCGAGGCTTCATGGCTGTCCTTCGTTGATTACTCAGCTATTTCCCGAGCATCCGAGTCATGGACGTCCCCGTCCTCAGTGTCTGTGGAGGCAGGAATTTGTGTACATCTACGGCAACATTTTAGGGAACATTCCGAGAAGTGGAATTGCTAGGCCAAAAATTGCGTCTGCCTTTACGTTTTCTAGGTATAGCTCCAGTTGCACACAGTGGGGAGCTGGTGCAGTTCTCCCTGTGCAGGACGTGAGTGAGCTGCTTCCCCTTGCTGTGAGCAGCGGGTGTGATCATAGCAGAGCTATTAAGAAGTTGGTCTGTGGTTAGGTCCACTTTTTGTTTGTTCCTTTCCAGGGGGGCCTGGGGGGCTTCCGGCTGCCTGTCCTTCATGCCTGCCCCTCTAGAGCGATGTGAGAATTTTCCTCTCTACTCCAGCCATGCTAGAGAAGAGGGCGGGGCACTGTAGCTCCATAGCAACGCAGGATTGAGTGTTTATCTTATTTGTAAGCTGCCAGGTTAGCCTGCCAGGAACTCATAGATGTAGCCAGAAGACCTGAGGTTCCTGGGTCAGGGGTGTGGACCGTGTTACCTCCTGCACAGCAGGCGGCCTGAACATCCTGTCTGAGCCAGTGACCCTTGTCAGCTCCCTATGCCCACTGGGACTTGTACCAGCGACTCAGAGCCCTGGTCTTTATAAGAGACTGCAAGTAGACTTGTGTGAGCTTTGCTCTGGAGCAGAATATGTGAATTATTAAACTGGACAGTGCTGGTTCAGAGGGACATGCTATGTCTATGGTCTAAGGCATCTACACACATGTGGCATAAAACCTAGATCGAAGGATGTCAGAGACTCTGGAGATGGCTGTTTAGGATTGTCTGGGAGAGTCCCCTCCAAGGCTTTGTCTAGGATTGACACGTAATCCTCCCCTCTCTGGACACATCCTTGGGACCTGGGACGTCCCTCTGCCACCTCCCAGAGCTGCTGGGACAAAGAGCCACAGCTGAGTGGCTCAGACCCACAGGAGCTCCTTGTCTCCCTTCTGGGCCTGGAAGTCTGAGATCCCTGGTGTTACCAGTGCCTTGTTCCCATGGACACCCATGAGGTCCTCCCTGGCCTTGTTCAGATCCAGGCATTTGGCCACCGGTCTTTGGTTCCTTGGCTATGGACATGTTGCTGTCCCTGTGGTCTGCACCTGTCCCCACAAGGCCATCTGTCCCCAAGTCTCTTCCTATCACCTTCCTTCTACACATGCCAGTCAGTGTCTGTGTTGAAATTTCCCTATCCTGAGGTTACCAGTCACATCAACTTTGTACCCATCCTAAAGATCTTGTCTTAACTTGATCTGTGATTCCCCAAACAAGACCCCATTCCTGGGTGCTGGGCCTTAGGAGGCCAATGGCTCCTTTGGGAAACATTGGGAACACTAGTCAAGTCACAGCACTCTCTCTGGAGCCAGGATGGAGAGCTGGGCTGTACCTGGGAGGTAAGGCTGGCCTGGACTCTGGCCTTCCTCTAACGAAGCCCTCTTTCTTTGGGCTGGGGCATTCCTTGCATAGAGGGGGCAGGGAACACAAAACTAGACTTTGAGTTTTCTGTCACTCCAAATCGATGTCCTGTGATATTTCTCCCTCTCCTGGCCTTTGGTTTCCAGATGCAGATGCAGTGACTGCACAGATCTTGTCCCTGCTGCCCTTGAAGTTTTTTCCGATCATCGTCATCGGGATCATCGCCTTGATCCTGGTGCTGGCCGTCGGCCTGGGCAGTGAGTACAATCTATTATTTAGCAGGCGCTCAAATACTTGCTCAGGTGTTTAAACTTGCATGAGTTCTCCTTCGCCCCACGCTTGCTGCTGCCCAGCTTTAATTACTGGTGGCCGATGTCATTTTGGTTTGCTGGCTATGGGTTTTATCTGCCTGCCTGAATATCAGGCCAGTGTGGGGATAGACAGGTGCCGTTGGCCATGCTCCTGGCTCTGCCACCAGACTGCCTCCCTGGTTAGAAGTGTTCAAAGGAAGCTGATGAAATGGGACTCAGCTGTGGGAAGGGGAGGCCCGGGCAGAGCAAACAAAGACTTCTATTCAAGCCAAACCAGGCACACTGGCTACTTTTACAGTGAGGCATGTGGGGCTTTTAAGAAAGTGGGTCATTTGGAGGGAGGGGCTCTACTATGGTACAATTTCTCATTTTCTCCTTTAAATAACTGTGGCACAGGTGAGTGTAATTTGCCACTTGCTGGGCCATGTGGTCCTCAGTGCATTGGCTTCTGGCCCAGAGTTAAGAGGAAGCAGAGAGGCTGGGAAGTTCTCAGTCAGGTCCCTTGCTGGGCCGGCTCGACAGGTCGGCTCTAGCTATGCATTTTCTTTCTTGACCTTGAGCCCTTCTGAATCTAAACTGCAGTCTGACTTGTGAGATAGAGGGCACAGAGGGCACAGCAACCTCATCCCTTGGAATTCTGGATAGAAACTGGACTGAAAGAAACAGGCTGCCGACAGGCATGCAATTTCAACGAGGTTTTATTATTGATGGAGAGGTTCATGCCACGTGGCAGGTGGTCAGCTCCTAGCTGCACCTGAACAGCTGCTTGCCAACATCTCTGTCTCCCTTTCTTTTCTCAGTCTACTTCGACTGCTCTGGCAAGTACAGGTGCCGTTCGTCTTTTAAATGCATTGAACTGGCAGCTCGATGCGATGGGGTCTCTGACTGCAAGGATGCGGAGGATGAGTACAGATGTGGTGAGTTGTGCCCATTCACTGTGGGAAGTGAGCTCAGCCCAACACTCAACCTTCCCATCTGTGAAATGGGTCCTAGACATAACCATTGTCAAGTCCTGCTCTCGGCTAGGATGTATCTGGCTGGGGTTCAGGGAGGGCTATTATGTGAGCTTTCAGTCACTTTGGGGACAAAACAGGCTCCAGAGCAGAGCCCTGGGAGATCTGGAAGTGCAGCCAAGTTACCTGCAACATTCCATTGGCGGGGAGGGCTGTGGATGAGGAGTGGGTCAGACTGAAGGGATTCAGTGCTGCTGGAGTCAGGCCTGCCTCCCTCTCTGCTCGGACTCAGTCTGTGCTAGCACTCAGTGCCCTCCGCCCTGTGCCTGGCCAGTGCGGGTGAGTGGCCGGAGCGCAGCCCTCCAGGTATTCACAGCTGCTGCGTGGAGGACCATGTGTTCTGATGACTGGAAGAGTCACTACGCCGTCATCGCCTGCGCCCAGCTGGGGTTTCCCAGGTGAGCCAAGAGGCAGTTCTGACCTAGGGGCCAGACAACAAGAGGGACAGAACCAGGACAGATCGCCGAGGGCAGTTTGGCCCTTTCTAGAACTTTACTCATTGTCACAGTTTCAACCTCGTGGCAGCCCCGTGGCATTTGACCGCCTCTCCTTTTCACAGGGTTGCAAACCAAGAGCCAGGCAGCTAGCTAAGTGACTCAAATCACACTGAATGTTGTTTTAGAGGTTTTCAGGGCCAGGCCAGCATGGCACATGCGAACAGGCAATTAAGGGCTTTGAGGCTGAGATGTGGCTCAGTTGGTAGACTACTTACCAAGTGTGCAGAAAGCCCTGGGTTCCATCTCTGGCACGGCATCAACTAGGTGTGGTGACTCATGTATGTAATCCTAGCACTTGGGAGGCAGAGGCAGGAGTGATGTGAGCATGTGAGTTCCAGGCCAGCCTGGGCTACATAGAGGGTTTGAGGCTAGTTTGGGCTGAATAGTGAGGCTCTGTCTCAAAATCAAAAACAACAAACACAAAACAATAACAAAAAACCCCAAAATATAAAAGATAAAAAACAGCAACAGAAAGCAAATAAACAGAAACCCAGGACTTCAGAGGCGAGAGCAGACCTGGCTCCAGGCTTCAAATCTGTGGCTGTAGGGCCACTGTTGCACCTGGTCCCTCTGGTCACATCCATGTCAGCATACATCTCACGAACCCCAAAGAATCTAGTTTTTAAAGCCAGTGATGTGCTGAAAACCCAGTTACTCAAAGTACCGTCTGACGTCCCTGAGAAGAATGTTGAAGGCGGAGATTTCCCGCTCTTAGGGTTGGGCGTCACCTGCCGACTGCGTCATGGTAACACACTTTTGCCCGGTCAGGAACCTCCCTCTCTGTGGATGTCCCTTCTGATGCCCTACCCCTGCAATGCTCCCGTGGATCTCAGAGTTTACCTCAGGCAGGTTCCCAAGTTCCCAGGCTCGTCTTAGGAACCCAGGAAAGTTGTCAAGGGTAAACCTGGAAGTGCGTCCCTGTTTGCATCCAGGAAGCAAGATCATCAAAGCCACATGGCTCTGAATCCTCCATGGAGGATCTAAGCCAGCGGGACCATGGGCATCCCATGTCCTACATCCCTGAGGCTGGCCTCCACCTCATTCCATGCCTGCCTGGGTTCCAAAATAGGCTGCAACCTAAGTTCAATGGCAACAGCAAAGATCATACACAGAGACGCCTTCGAGAATTCTGGAGCTTCACAGAGACACTATTGAGAATTACGTAGGTTTTACTCCTCAGAGGAAAAAGTTCAAACAGCACACACACACAAACACACACACACACACACACAGACATGGACACACACATATGGACACACACAGACACACATACACAGACATACACACACACACAGACATACACACACGGACACACAAACACATGGACACACACACATATGGACACACACAGATACACAGACATACACACAGACATACACGCACAGACACACAGACACACATGGACACACACAGACACACACAAAGACACACGGACACACATGGACACACGGACACATACACAGACACACACATAGACACACAGACACACACAAAGACACACGGACACACATGGACACACGGACACATACACAGACACACACATAGACACACAGACACACACAAAGACACACGGACACACATGGACACACGGACACATACACAGACACACACATAGACACACAGACACACACAAAGACACACGGACACACATGGACACACGGACACATACACAGACACACACATAGACACACAGACACACACAAAGACACACGGACACACATGGACACACGGACACATACACAGACACACACATGGACACACACAGACACACACACAGACACACACACATGACACACAGACACACACAAAGACACACGGACACACATGGACACACGGACACATACACAGACACACACATGGACACACACAGACGCACACACAGACACACACACATGACACACAGACACACACATGGACACAGACAGACACACACATGGACACAGACAGACACACACATGGACACAGACAGACACACACATGGACACAGACAGACACACACATGGACACAGACAGACACACACATGGACACACAGACACACACACATGGACACACAGACACACACAAAGACACACGGACACATACAGACACACACATGGACACACACAGACACACACATGGACACACACAGACACATACACAGACACACACATGGACACACACAGACACACACACAGACACACACAAAGACACACAGACACACATGGACACACACGGACACATACACAGACACACACACACATACACACACACATACACACAGACATACACACACGGACACACAAACACATGGACACACACACATATGGACACACAGATACACAGACATACACAGACATACACACAGACATACACGCACAGACACACAGACACACATGGACACACACAGATGCACACACAGACACACACGAACACACACAGACACACACATGGACACACACGGACACATACAGACACACACATGGACAAACACGGACACATACACAGACACACACATGGACACACACACAGACACACACATGGACACAGATGGACACATAAACACACACATGGACACACACATGGACACACACAGACACACATGTGGACATACACAGACACACAGACACACACACATGGACACACACGGACACATACACAGACACACACACGGACACACACACATGGACACACAGACACACACAAAGACACACGGACACATACACAGACACACACATGGACACAGACGGACACATAAACACACACACGGACACACACAGACACACACATGGACACACACAGACACACACACATGGACACACACAGACACACACATGGACACACAGACACACACACAGACACACACATGGACACACAGACACACACAAAGACACACGGACACACATGGACACACACAGACACACACATGGACACACAGACACACACACAGACACACGGACACATACACAGACACACACATGGACACAGACGGACACATAAACACACACACGGACACACACAGACACACACAGACACACACATGGACACACACAAAGACACACGGACACACATGGACACACACAGACACACACATGGACACACAGACACACACAAAGACACACGGACACACATGGACACACACGGACACATACACAGACACACACATGGACACACACAGACGCACACACAGACACACATATGGACACACAGACACACACAAAGACACACGGACACACATGGACACACATGGACACATACACAGACACACACATGGACACACACAGACACACACACACAGACACACACGGATACACACAGACACACACAGACACACAGAGACACACCCTTTTTCAAACAGTCAAGAACTTCCCTACTAGGCATTTCTGCTTCTGCCCACCTCTTCCTCCCTTTCTCTTCCTTCTGGACTATTCTCTGCCGCCAAGCCCCTGGCCTCTGCCCTATTAGAAACGTGCCCCTCAGCCGTACCCCACTCCAGCCAGGACAGGAGCCGAGGCCTCCAGGAGGTCGGGGCCAGTACACAGCTCTCAATCCGCGGCAGCCTCCACTTCCCCCTTGAGAGGATGGGGATGTGACTGCTCCCTCGTCCTTCCTGCACGGCCTCCTCTCTGCAAACTCATCTCTTGCCCGTGGTTGCCGCGGTGTCTCAGGCTTCCTTCTGCATCTTGGTAATTCTGTGTTTCTCTTTAGAAGCCTCTGGAGTCTCTCCTCTGCCACACCCCATCTCAGACATCTGTGATGAGCAACAACAACAAAACCAAAACCAAATCGAACCCAGAACCAGGCCAGTGAGGCCAGAAGGCTCCAGTTCAAACCCTGGCGTGGGTTCAGGCAGTCACCTGATACCTGCCTCAGTTTCCCCCCCCAGAACAGAGACAATATCAGCACCTGTCTTAAAGACCATGGGTGCTCAGTGGTCTCTAGGGTGTGGGAAGGCCCCTGTGAGAGCTCAGGGCTGTGGTGGGGTCAGCTGCTGCTCTGAGGGCATCTGTGGGCTCTGTTAGCTGCACTCGGGTGCCCTCGGTATTCATGCTAGAGCCCGCCACTCCGCCTGCCTCAGCACCTCACCCCCGGCCAAAGCCGCTCCTCTACACCGAGGCCAGCCTCCTGAAGCCCCGGAGGCCGTGGGCTTGATGGTGTTTTGCTCAAACCCAGGCTTGGCCGAACTCTGCACTGCGCTCTCACCAATGAGATGACAAACTGCCGGGTTGCTGAGCACCGGCCTTCCTCGAACTTTGTTCCTCAAATCCCGCGTTTCTTTTCTTTCCAAGCGCTGGGCACGTGCTCTTTATAAGTGCTGCCCTATTCTTTTTCTTTTTAAAGGACTATATTTCATGTACAGAACTATGACTACGTATCAAATAACACTATAACAGAATGATTTCATACAGTTTTAGAGGAAAAAAGGAAAAAAAATTCAGGTTACAAAATCCCTCTCCCCCAAACAATTTTTAAAATTATTTTATTATTTTTATCTTATGTGTATGAGTATATTACCTGCATGTGTGTAAGTGTACATGTGTGGAGCAATGAAAGCCCAAGGAGGTCAGAAGAGGGCGTCGGAGCCCCTGGAACTGGAGTTAGGATGGTTGTGGCCTCCATGTGGGTGCTGGGAATCGAACCCAGGTCCTCTGCAAGAGCAGCCAGTGCTCTTAACCACTGAGCCATCTCTCCAGTCCCCCAAACAATGTTTTAAATCACTTTTCTCTAAATGGGTCGATGCAACAAATGTATTCAGTGACTAGTCACGTCTAATTCCTGTTGCGTTAGTGGTCAATGGAATCAGAAAGCCCAACTTTCACAATTGTCAACCCAAAGAAATAATACATTTAAAAAAATAAATACACAGAAAGTTGAATTCACATATCCACCACGGCGTGGGGGGCTCTGACAGAGTTGGAACGAGAGAAAAATTAGCTTTACGTCTTCTTTCATGATCTGGAAGTCCGCTAGCCTATGCATTGTCCTTCCCCATTCCTATCCCTGGCTTAGCTGCCTTTCTAAATGTTAGGCCCTACACACGCCTACACCTGCTGACACACGTGCACATACACCACAGGCTGGGATCTAAGCGTGTGAGAGAGCATGCAGGGTTCTCCCTCCTGCATTTGGGTCTCTTGCTTATTCAGTTCCACCCATTTTCCTGCAAACTTCATGATTTCATGCTTCCGTAATAATTCATTGGTTTGCTTATTTAGGAGGGAAACCTTACTGGGTCCTTCTCATGTAAATGTCCTGCCTACTGGGCTGCCCCAGTCAAGGGATAACAGGCGCGGGCCACCAGACCACCAGACCACCAGGCCACCAGGCCACCAGGCCACCAGACCACCAGGCCACCAGGCCACCAGACCACCAGGCCACCAGGCCACCAGGCCGTCTTTCTTCTACTTTCCTTTTTTGGTTCCTTTCCTTCTTTCTTTTTTCTTTCTTTCTTCTTTCTTTCTTTCTTTCTTTCTTTCTTTCTTTCTTTCTTTCTTTCTCTCTGTTTTTTTTCACTTTCTGTTTTTATTTATTAGTTGGTGGGTCAGTTGGTTTCCTCTCCCCTCCTCTCCCCCTCCCCTCTTGTTCTGGTTTCTTTCAGTCTCCCCACTATACCGTGACTATACAGACTTGTCTCCTGACGTCGTATACCTGAGCCCAGGGCCCTCAAACAGCTGCCTTCCATGACAGTGCTGGGCAGAGTGGGGCAGGCTGTCCTGTCCTTTGGAGCTGGGCATCTCTACCTCAGGGTACCCAGCTGCCTTCCTCTGGGCCTGCCTCAAGCCAAGCAAAGTCAAGCCAAACCAAACAGATCAGAATGGGGGTGGTGGGAACCACCCAACTGAGGCTGGAAGTGGTCCTTCCTCCCCGTGACTGGAGCTGGGGGGTGGGTAGGCAGAGCTGTGGGCTGGGGACCAGCAGAGGGGTCACCCCAGGCCACGGTATGTCTGGGACACTTTGCTAAGGTGTGTGCACTTTATCTGCAAAAGGAAGCCTTTGATGGTTTGGGGAGGACCAAGTAGGGTACCCTAAATGTGATGCTTGTTCCCTGGTGGCTAGATGAGGGGTGACTTCAGAGTCACTGTGACAGCTGGGCCTGGGTTTCCAATGTACCTACAGCTACGTGAGTTCAGACCACCTCAGGGTGGACGCATTGGAGGAGCAGTTCCAGAGCGACTTTGTGTCCGTCAATCACCTCTTGCCAGATGACAAGGTGACCGCATTACATCACTCAGTGTACACAAGGTAAGCAGTTAGAAGCGGGTGCTGTCCACACTAGTGCTGAGTCACCTGCGTTTGTTAGGCTGTGCAGGGCTCTACTAGGAGTGTTAGGAGAGAGAGAACATCAGCTCAGCAACCAATGGGGAACTCAGCACTGGGGTCAGATGGCAGGTGGGATGGGGTGAACCCCCAGGTTTGGCCCAGGGACAAGGGAGAAGTGCGGGGAAAAGGTGACGGTGCCACTCAGAGACGCACCAGGGCAGTGCTGTGAGTCTGCATGTGTGCCTGTACCTATATGTGTGTACGTGTATGTGCATGTGTATGTGTGTGCATGTACATATGTGTATGTTTGTGCGTGTGCGTGTGTGCGTGTCCATGTGTAAAAGCAAGCAAGGAGGGAAGGGACGAGGAAGTGAAGACGTGTATGTGCATGTGTATGTGTGTGCATGTACATATGTGTATGTTTGTGCATGTGCGTGTGCGCGTGTGTCCATGTGTAAAAGCAAGCAAGGAGGGAAGGGACGAGGAAGTGAACACAGCAGCCGCCACGAAGTGCTTTAATATCATCATCGCTCCCGTGGGAGGGAAAACCAGGTTTCCTTGGCAACAGTCAGGTGCCCGCCCAGGTGCCTGGGCCCAGGCTTGAGCAAGGAGTGGTGGTCCAGTCAGGCTTTCCTCCTGAAAACTAGACCCAGCCCCAATGCCCGTGGCCTCTGCTCCGCAAACAGCAGCTTGTCGGTCTGTGCATTACACACATGGGCCAACGTGCAAGCCAGGACCTCCTCATTCCTCAGCCTGGTGACACTGGCTGCTCTTCTTTTTTTTAAAAAAATTATGTGTATGAGTGTTTTGCCTGCATGTATGTGCATGCAGTGCCCATGGAGGCCAGAAGAGGGCATCAGATACCCTCGAACTAGAGTTATGGATAGTTGTTAGCTACCAGGTGGGTGCTGGAAACTGAACCCAGGTCCTCTGCAAGAGTGGAGAGTGTTCTTAACTGCTGAGCCAGCTCTCCAGCCCCACACTGGATCCCTTTCCCACTATGAAGAAAGTAAACGTCCCTGCCGTGCAGGGGTGCACACCATTCTAGGACCATCTAGTGCTCCTGGCGGAGTTCTGTCCCAGGTGTGTGACTCCAGGCTGCTGGGGCCCTGGAGAGCCAGTCACTGTCAGCAGGGCACTCTGCATATTCTAGAGGTCAGGGAATGAAGAACACAGGGGAGACACATACATGCTAACACACATCTTATGCGCCCTTGTTTAGTACACGGATCTGTGTAGTGTTAGTGCCTGTCCTGTATGTTGGTTGAGGGGTCTGTCCTGAGTTTGTCACCCTCATGGGCTGCCTTCGTTGTTTACATAGACTAAAGCTGTCATCGTCACTGAAGAGGGAGGAGACAGCTTCTTTTCCGTTTGTCAGTTAGGTTGGTCGTAGTGCCCATATCATAGGCCTTCAGATATTTATCATGAACTGCTGCTTTTCTGCTTTAGAGAGGGCTGTGCCTCGGGCCACGTGGTCACCTTGACGTGCTCAGGTAAGGGGTTAAACTAGAAGTGTGACCTTGAGGAGTCTTGTCTCCTTTGAGGACTGCTAGAGGCCCTGTCTCCTACATGTCAGCGACAGGCTGCTCAGCACCAGGAATCTGGGACACAGTTGCCTCTCTTTCCTGGGGTGGGGGGGATGGGATGCAAGAGTTTTCCCATTGCAGGGTGGGGTCTGGAGAGGTCTGGTCAGGTGGGGGTAAGGAAGGAGCTGCAGAGGGCTCGTCACGAGGAGTGCTGACCCACTGGGGATTATCATCGTGTGGTGCTAAACACCAGGAGACCACCTCAGCAGGCACAGTGCTGACAGCAGCATGACACACTGATAGATGCTTCCCACTGCCCCCACAAACCCCAGCTGCCCTCAAGTCTCCCTGTGCCCACCCTCTCCTACCCCAGTGCTCAGCTCCCACTGTGGCCTTACCTTAGCACTGCTGTGGGCCCTGGGTGAGGACAGGGGCTACTGACAGCATCTCTCCCCAGAAAATGCTATGGGTGTACCCATGAGCCCTGACTTTCCCTCTGTAGCCTGTGGGCTGAGAACTGGCTACAGTCCTCGCATCGTGGGTGGAAATATGTCCTCGCTTGCCCAGTGGCCCTGGCAGGTCAGTCTTCAGTTTCAAGGCTACCATCTGTGTGGGGGCTCCGTCATCACCCCGCTGTGGATCGTCACTGCCGCGCATTGTGTTTACGAGTGAGTGCCTGGGCCTGCTCCTGAGGCTCCTTGACTTCCCAGAGCCTTGTCCGGTCCTGGCTTAAGTGGGGATGGGGTGATCTGGGGGAAAACAGCAGAAGACAAGCTATGTGTAGGTGTGGGGCTCTGCCTGCCTCATGGCAGACCTGTCTCTGTGACTGGGAGTGACAGGACTGAGTTGGCACGGGAAAGAGGAGGAAGGAGGCTCAGTGCAGGAGACCCACTGAAATAGAGGCCCTAGGCCTTCTGGGAGCGTCCCACTGCTGGCCGCATGCTGCGGGGAGCTGGAGTACCATAGGGTGGAGGTGCAGGGCGCCTGGAGAACGCTGAGCCCCCACCAAGCTGTCTGTTAGAAGTTTAGAGGGTAAGAAAGTCACAGAAAAGATTCCAGTGATTCTCCCTGGGATGTTTCCCATCTTTCTCCTGCTTTGGTCGCCATTCAACGAAGGAAAGACTCCAGCAGCCTCTGCGGAGCTGAGCTCAGTTCTCAAATGCAGAGAGACCTGTTGGGTGGTGTGGAGAGCCAGGCCTATCTGTGACCTACATGGGGTGTGGTCTGTGTATCTGCAGGGTTTGGAAGTGTGCTTGGACATAGGGCACAGATGTGCAGGGCACTGGGCTGTCTCCTGCCCATGACACCTCTCACTGTCTCCCTGGGCTTGAGCTAGACACTTCAGTTCAACGTGCCTGGGGTCGCCTGAGCTTTGCCTCTTGGCCTGTTTCTTATCCCAGCCTGTACCTGCCCAAGTCCTGGACAGTCCAGGTGGGTCTCGTGTCCCTGGTGGACAGTCCTGCACCCTCCCATCTGGTGGAGAAGATCATCTATCACAGCAAGTACAAGCCAAAGCGGTTGGGCAATGACATTGCTCTCATGAAGCTGGCCGGGCCGCTCACCTTCGATGGTATGTCTGGGCTACTAGGTCAGGCTGTTGCTTTCCAGTGTTTCAAGACAACTGGTGATTGTTTGTGGAAACATCCTTATGACAGCTGCTTTACATCCTTGCTTGAAAATTCCAGCATCTGACTTGTAGATACTGACGTCATCAGGCTGTCTTTGCTCTTTAGGGTTGCGTGTGTTTGTGTTGTGTGTAGTTGTGTTTGTGTTGTGTGTATGCTATGTTCCTGTGTGTGCAGGTGTGCATAGACATGTGTGCACATGCACATGGACCCAGAGGTCAACAACTGATGAACATTTACCTAGTTTGTGGAGACAGGGTCTCTTCCTGGCCTGGAGCTTGCCAAGTGGGCTAGCCTGACTGGCCACCAAGCCCCAGGGACTCTCCTGTCTGCACCGTCCCAGTACAGGATTATAGGCACACACCAGCACCGGCTTTTTACCTGGGTTCTGGGTGCTGAACCCTGATCGTTATGCTCCTGTGGCAAGCACTTTGCCCCTGAGCTGTCTCCTCAGCCATTCTGTAGGTGCAAAGTAGGAGGAACCTTGGCTGGGCAAGTGAGAACCCACCCTCAAGGGTCTGGGTACTGGATGGTGGCAGGAGCTGTAGACACCTGTGTGACTTAGAGAGTAACAGAGAAAGGAATTGGAACGGGGAGCGGGTGTGGTACTTGCTGTCATTTGTGATATTTGGTTATAGAATATGAGGTGCTGGTAGCCGTAGTTGGCTAAAAAGTTAAATGTGTCTCCTGACTTGCCAGCCTCACCAGCTGGGAAGCAGCTCCTTTCAGGAGCCGCTCAACGTGAAAGCCGTGGACACATGCACCCGTGTGGCTTCGCTGGGGCCTCAGTGACACAGCCTGGGCACTGGCCAGCCTGCTGTCACTGCAAATGTCAGGGGCAACAGGAACATGTGTAACATGTGCTTGTGAAACGGAGTACACACCCAACCAAGGTCTAGACAGTGTGGACCAAGTGTGACCTACTGTGTGTTTGGAAAAGTAAGATCCTGTTATAAAGTGACTGGACCCTTTGTTTATATTTCCTGTGGTTCCAGAGGTACCCAAGGGGCTGCATCCCCCGTAGGCCTGAACCTTCTACTGTCCAGCCCTTTACAGCCAAGGCTTTGCAGCTAGGATCTGGACTCATGCATACTGCCACTGTCTAGGGCTGCCTTGAAGTTTTAGTGACTCCGGGGGAAGGGTAGGGGTGGGGTCTCCTTTCTGAACTTCCTGCCTTCAGTGACCGAGGCCTGACCCTCCCTGGGAGATGGAGTGAGACCTGAATACGAGGACAGTTGATTTCAGGGACAACAGCTCCAGGAGCTTGAGGCTGTTTTTTTTCCAACAGAGATGACCCAGCCCATCTGTCTACCCAACTCTGAAGAGAACTTCCCCGATGGAAAACTGTGCTGGACGTCAGGATGGGGGGCCACGGAGGACGGAGGTCAGTAGTCTGACTGGGAGGCCCCTTCCTGTGTTCCACTGTGATGCTGGTGGTCCCGGCCCAGGGATAGGGTGGATCAACTGTTCACAGCAGCAGTCTAAGGAGCCATGGGTCCCAAGTCACGGTCACTCATCTTGGGTGGATGTGAAACTTCTCTGGAGAGAAAAGAGCCATGAGGGAGGAGTGTGGGCACTTCTTGGTGGAGAGGCTTCATTGATTCTTCCTCTTCCCTTTACCCATCCTGCTAAGCAAGTGCATATAGAACCCATCTCAACGGCCCTCCAAGCTTTATTCATAGGCAGAGGCACGTGGCAGTAAGGAATCCATGTCTGTGAGACGTGGAGGGATGTTATTTTCTCCTCCAAACAGGGCTGTGCTGGTAGATGTGGCACTGTCATCAACCATGGTAACAGACACCTGTGTCCCTTTCATCAGGGTGGGGTGCAGGGATGGGTCCTGAGGCCCGGGTTTTCTGTCAATGGCTTTCTTTCGTGGGAAGTATGATCATTTTCTGTGACTGCTGTAACACACCATTACGGTCTGGATGGCCCCAAAGGCCCCATGCTGCAGGCCCAGCCACCCACAGCTCTAGAGAATTCTGAGACTACAGGCCTGAGGTGGGGTCAACTAAGGTGTCTAAAGGCCTGAGGTGGGGTCTGTCCCAGCGTCTACCCCAGCGTCTGGGGGTGCCAGCCATTTGTGCTATTCCTTGACTTGCAGATGCGTTCCCTTATTTCAGTCCCTGGATGTTGTTGGTTTTTTGTTTTGTTTTGGAGACCGAACCTGGACTAAACTTTGAGTTCGCTGACCTGGAACTTCCAAATCTGGCCATTGAGCCCAGGAATCCTCCTGTCTCCACCTCCTAGCCCTGGAGTTACAAATGACATCACCCTGTGCCCAGACTGTTTTTTTTTTTTTTTTTTTTTTTTTCCAATGTGGTTTTCTGGGTGTTGAACTCAGGTCCCTGTACTTGTAAGGCAAGCTCTTTACTGGCTGGGCCATCTCCTCAGCCCTCAACCATCTCCATGTGACGTCTATCTCTGTCTCTGTCTCTCTGTCTCTGTCTGTCTCTCTGTCTCTCTCTGTCTCTGTCTCTGTCTCTGTCTCTCTCTCTCTCTCTCTCTCTCTCTCGTCTTATATAAAGACACCAGTTATTGGCTTTAGAGCCTGCCCTAGATATAGTTGATCTCACCTTGAGAGCCGTACCTCAGTACCTTAGGCTCTGCTCCAAATATACATGCTCCAGTTACACGCAGACAAACAGGAAGAGGGTTATAATTCAGCCTTATGCAGGAAGGTCAGTGCTTTCCTTCAGAGACCTGTTCATGCACAGTCTCACTGTAGTTCAGGCTGACCTGGCTCACTATGCAACCCAGACTGGCCATGAACTCATGGCCATCCTCCTGCCTCAGCTTCCCTAATGCTAGGATTACATGCCCAGCTTGCATTTATTACCTTACAGTTACGGGTCAGAAGAGGTCCCTACCTGGGAGGCTCTGGTGGCAGCTGCCCCCTCACCTTTCCCTCCTACCCTCCTGGAGGCCGCGAGCCTTGTCCTCATCCGCAAGGCCAATAGGCTGGTCTCTGATTCTGCTGTCTGTTCTTGTGACGTGCCTTCCTGTGGTCAGTCTTTGATGAGTCCTTGTGGTTTCTGAGTCCACCCTCATCATCCAGGCTGTCTCACAGTCAGACCTTTGAACACTTGCAAAGATTCCTGGCCATCTAAAGTGGCACGGTCACAGGGCCCATGCCTGTCTTTGGAGGGACACTGACCACTGTATGGCTTTGCCCGTACAGTGTGTGTGACCTTCACAAGCCTCAGTTTCCCTTTGGTAGCATGACTGGGGCGGGTCTAGGGCCTGACCAGCTGTGGGGAGGGACAGTTGGCTACTGTTGCACCTCTCTCTTTCTTCTGCCTTGGGCTCTTAGGGGAGTAAGTGGCCCTGACACAAAGGCAAGGGCTGTCCCAGTCACAGGCCTGGTCTTTGCTGCCATGGCTTCGTGTCAGGTGGCATGTCCCCTGTCCGCTCGCCCCCTGTCCCTGGTCCTCTGAGCTTCCTGTCCCTGTGTCTTCTGAGTTGGAGTCCTCACCACACGTTTCTACCCTTGCTTTGAGGCAGGTGACGCCTCCCCTGTCCTGAACCACGCGGCTGTTCCTTTAATTTCAAACAAGATCTGTAACCACAGGGACGTGTACGGTGGCATCATCTCCCCATCCATGCTCTGCGCAGGCTATTTGAAGGGTGGCGTGGACAGCTGCCAGGTAAGGATTTCCGGTCACCCTGGGGGCCTTGGCAGCTGACAAGTGTCCCAGCCCATGGGACAGGTCATTGCTAGTTTCTCTGTGACTGGTCAAAAAGCAAACTCACACGACGCAAGGAAAAAATTTGCTTAAGATATCCCTGGCTTTCCAGTGCCCGGCCCGTGTTTACTCGGTCCTCCCAGTCTCTGAGGGCATGAGTGCTGCCCTCCTGGTTCCCCTCCAGCCCGATTCTGAATGTATTAGGGGAGTAACATAAGGCGGTGGCAGCCAATGGATCTGGGCTTCCAAAAGCCACAGTGTGTGAGACTCAATACTCCCTGGTAGACACAGGTGAGTTAGAAGTCTAGGCCAGGCAGACCCTCCGTCTTCAGCTCCCTGGGTTGCACAGACTCCCCTTCACCTTCACAGCTTGGTGCTTGGGACCTGGTTGAGACACAGCTGGATGGAAACCTTCCCACAGAGGCAAGGGATGGGAAGAGGTGGGTGGTGTGCACAAGGAGCTACACACTGGTGATGTTGAGAAGGGGGGGCCTGTGCCACCAGCATAGTGAGGCAGTGCCACCGTCTTGACCTCTGCCTCCTTCTGCCTTCCAGGGAGACAGCGGGGGGCCCCTGGTGTGCCAGGAAAGAAGGCTGTGGAAGCTGGTGGGTGCGACAAGCTTTGGCATTGGGTGTGCGGAGACGAACAAGCCCGGGGTCTACACCCGCATCACCTCCTTTCTGGACTGGATTCATGAGCAGCTGGAGGTGGGTGGGGCACCTCGGCTCACGTGCTCCTCACATCCAGTGTCACCACGGCTCTGCCACAGGGAACCAGGAAGAGGGTGGGGGATGTTGGTTCAGCAGTGATCCCTTGGTGGCTCTGCTTTGAAGTACAGCTAATCCCATGGGTAAGGCCCTGTTCTAGTGTGATCTGGACACGCAGATAAGAGACGGACAGGACGACTGAATCTACCTGCTCCATCCAGCAGGGAAAGACAAAGATTGACGAAGTGTCCCCTTGGGATGGGAGAGAGTTAAGGATGCTTAATTGTGCATGGAGCAGAGGTGGGTTGAGTCTGGATGAGGTACAGCCGGGTATGTGTGTGGCAGGGCTGGGGGCACCCCAAATGCCTCTGTGAAGTTGGTGTCTTGCTGGGAGTGAGGATGGAACAGAGAACTTTTCAGCAGGGAAGGCTGTGTAATTTTGCTCTGGGAAGTAGGAATCATGAGGGGCCTATAGAGACCCTTGGTTGGCAAGGCCAGCCCTGGGAGGTCAGGGGAGCCTTAAGTGAGATTCACTGGGCACCAGGTGAAGGAGAGTCCCAGTAGACAGACACAGGCTCCACTGTGATGGTAGTCAGATGTCAGCAACCCTCCACCTTTCTTAAGAGGAGGAAAGGCCACAGGGAGGCAAGACCCAGCCTAGGACAAGGCTCTAGGCAAATATTTGCTAACTGGATCTCAGGTATGACTCCTCGGCCGGGTTTCAAAGATCTTTTTTTTTTCTTTTCTTACTTGGGATGAAACTTACATAACATAAACGGGACATTTGGAAGACGGCAATGCACAGCACTGGACACACTGACAGTATTGTGTGGCTACCGCTGTGCAGTTCCAAAACATTTTCATCATCCCAGAGGAACACCTTGTTCCTTCCTGCTCCAACCATCCAGCAATCAGCTGCCTCTATGGTTCAGAGACCTTCATAAAGTTGGACTCGTGTGTGTGTGTGTGTGTGTGTGTGTGTGTGTGTGTATGTGTGTGTGTGATATAACCCAGGCTGTCCTCAACTGAAGATGACTTTGAACTTGTGATTCTCCTGCCTCTACCTCCCAAGTGCTGTCAGGCATGCATCACTGTATTCGTTTGTGCAGTGCTGGGGATGGGATGTGGGGCCTCAGGCGAACACCACAGCCCATTCAAAGACCTTTTAAAAATCCCCTGTGAGTTGAAGTAATTGACTGAAAACATACCAGACTCTGTGTTTAGGGCGGATTCCTCTTTCTTCATTGTTGGCGTAGACTCAAGCTGATTTTTTGCTTCAGTACTGGTAGTTGAACCCAGGGTCTGGTGCACGCTAGGCTAGGGCTCTACCGTTGAGCTATACCCCACCCCCTGCTTCTTCTTTATTGATTTTGTCTGTGAGGAAGGACATTGAATACAGCTCCTGTGCTAGCGGGTGAGGCCTGGGTCTGTGTTGGTCCCAGCACCACTGGTCACAGCCAGGACTTTGTGCAGCCTAGCTCCCACCTGCAGTGTGTGGTGGAGCCTTCAGGCTGGCTCAGGGCAGGCCTCACTGCTGCTGCGATCTGCTGACACTATGCATTAAGTACCACGGAGTGCTGTTTAGTACAGGATTCAGCCAACACTTGCTTACTCCTTGGAATATCAACGTGGACATTTGAACAGGTGATCTCCTTGTGAAAAGGAGCTTTGCTGGGTGGAGGCAACCTCCCAGAGGTCACTGAAGGAACCTCAGGGGTAGGACTGGGGTGCAGATAGGCCGTGTGTGCGGGGGGTGGGGGGGCGAGCAGTACAGTAGCCTCAGAAAGCAAGTGAACCTTCCCATGGCCGTCTTTGGGACACAGATGCCATGTGACTGAGCATGTTCTGAAAGTCTGGAAGTCCAGAGAAGTTGCTCCCCCAGTTCTCCATTCTTTTGAGAAATGTGGGGCAGTCAGGGCTATAAAGGTCCTTCATTCGTGCTGGGGAGCTATGACAGGGAAGCTTTGTCCTGGACGATGGATCCTACAACCCTCAGGGCAGGTAGGGAGCCTGCTTAACTGAAGGTACCCAAGTTAGAAGGGCAGTGCATGAGTGTAGTGAGACCCAGGCTTGGACCTCAGCGAGATGAACAGATCTCTTGGGGTACACAAGTCCTTCCCTACTGCTTGCCAAAACGGAAGATTCCCAGAACCTTCCTCTAGTCAGTCTGATCTGGGGCCCTGGGCGGGGGGCAGGTGATTTTGGTGCATAGAACTCACCCTGAGAAAGGCTAGCGTGCCCCTAGACTCCTGGAAATTAGAGTAAGCCCCTGTTATTTCCTGAGGTGTCTGTTCTCTGAGGGGTTTTCACTGTAGTGACCCGTTAGGACTTTTGAGGATCGCTTGGGAAATATTAGTCATCAGTTGCCCTAGACCGAGTGAGGGCCTGCATGAAGTGTCACCTGCCAAACACACCTGCTCCCAAATCTCTCTCAAGGTGACCCAAGGAAGACCCAGATGTCACCTCCCTTCTGTGAGGGTCTTCCTAGATTTGAGGTCTCTCATTGGAATGCCAGCCTGAAGCCCTTCCAAGAATCTTCCTACCTCGGGGGCACTGTCCCATCTGTCAGTTCCCCAACCTCCCAGGGGGTCCCTGCCTCATTATCTGCCCTCCTCCTCTCTGCCCAACAGGTTTCCTTATTAAGTTGGGGCTTAAAGCAAAATTGTTCTGGCTTAAATCAGACTTTGAAAACATGAGGCTGAGACCTGGCATATTCATATAGGAGTTTGGGGACAATCTTAGACAGAGATGAAAACTTCAGGGGCCTTGCTGGGTGGAGGCAACCTCCCAGAGTGGGCAACCTCCTCCCTCAGAGCCCCAATGTCCCCATTGATCACGGACAACATTTAAGGGGAAATGCAGGTGCCCATAGGGTTACAATGTCCAAGAGATGCTCACAGGGAAAAACCAGTGACTCCTGTTTTCATTCTTAGAGAGACCTGAAGACTTGAGTAGAGACAAAGCGGGCATCTGAGCTCCTGAGGGTGGACACAGCCCGATCCTTCCCTGGACTGCTGTGTGGGCACAGTGCACAGGGGCACCCGCCTCAGTGCTGTGCTTGCTGTGCTGGAGCAGAGCCAAAGGGAAGAACATCGTCTTAACCTTTGCCTCCTGGAACCCCTGCTGCGAATGTCTTCAGCCTCTGGGGCTTTTGGCTGAAATGATTTGGAGCTCCTTTCTGCACATCACAAGAACAAAAGCAGGACCCCCCCCCCCGACCAAGTGACACCTTTCCTGCTATCCACCTGCTTTTTTCTGGCAGAGCTATTAAAGTAGGCAGTCTCACATGCAAAACTGTAGATAGCCAGTTGGTGAAGACGCTCAGGATTGCTGCATTGGTGCTTACACACACAGCCACCTGCACATTTTATCTAGGCTCCAGACCTAAACCCAAACTTCATACTTCCAAGAGCCCATTTCACAAGTGGGAAACTTAACCTGTGAATGATTCAGCCCAAGGCTCTGTTCCAGTATCTCTTTGTAACATTTGGTGCTTGACGAATCTTCGGCCCTGGCTTCCAGAGGGCTCCACCCCCCTTCTCTGGTCTCTTTCCTTGGGCTTCAGGGAGCAAGCACTGATGGTTCACAGGGACTGAAATCATGAGCTCACATGCCAAGCCCATGTCTCCTACACGTGTCAGAGGAATTCAAATTTTTTCTGTTAGAAAATGTTCTTTAGCAGATTAGAAGCCCTTTACCACATCACGGGACTCATTAGCACAGCGGGAGACGAAGGCCTTAGGAGAGACAAGACCAGTGGGCCCTAAAAGCAAGTAAAATGGAAGGTCATAGGTCATGGGACTACCCTGTCCCTCCATGCACTGTGCTAATGTACCCCCTACAAGTTTGGAGCCCCTCCTGGCTGGCTGCACATCCTGCTGTCACCAATATTACCCAGTAACAGAGGAGGGTTATGTTGAGGGTAGCCACTGGCCGTCAGAGCTTGTCACTAACTGAGTCTTCAGAGTATGAATCGGTTGCTTTGCCTTGTGCTGCAATGGGCAAGATCCATAAGTTTGGGAGAGAGAGAGAGAGGAGAGAGAGAGAGAGAGAGGAGAGAGAGAGAGAGGAGAGAGAGAAAGAGAGAGAGAGAGAGAAGAGAGAGAGAAGAGAAGAGATGGGTCTAGGTGCCTGAGGGAGGAACAGTTCCAAGGAGCTTGGGGTGTGTATGAGATGGGATGGAGGAAGAGAGGGAGAGAGCCAAGACAAACTGTCACAGAGCCCCTGTGTTTGGACTCACACAGATCAGAGCCACTACCAGATCTCTGCATTAAGAAGAAACCACCCAGGACCCTCAGTGGATGCCTCAACCTGAGCTGTACTGAACCCTATACAGACTGCTTTTCCCTGTGCAGACATACCAATAATAAGGTTTAATTCATAAGTCAGGCACAGAAAGGGATGGACAGTCATAAACAATAATAAAATAGAATAATTATAAAAATGTGTGGTGACAAATATTGTGTGTGTGACTTGATAGAATATGTGAATTGCAGAAGAGCCACAAGCCTCATTAGAAAAGTAATATAACCATAAATCCCTTAAAGTGTCTAACTGGCCCTAAGTTGGCAGCCCGGCCTTGCTCGAGCCTTATCAACTGGTCACTCCCTGACTGAGAGAGACTGTGGAGCCCATCTGTCTCCTTTAGGGCTATAGATAACTCACCCGCCTGCCTGAGCGAATAATATTGAGAAAAGAGCCCCTCAAGCACCCCAGACCCTGGCACGGAGTTAACGTTTGCAGCTGTGTGCAGCGGAGCTCCTATACAAGGCCAGACTGTTCCCTGTTCAGAGACGGACAATCGTCCTCGAGGAAGAGTTCTTATCACCCTTTGTGGCCTCCTGAATCCAGGGAGCACTTTTCTTGCCTGTTGCAGGTCTGTCTCTGACTCTTATTTCTAACCTTTAAACTCCTTTTTTCTGCCCTCCTAAATCTAACATGACTTACCTCCTTTGTGTGGTGACAAACATTGTGTGGGGCTTACCTCTTGTTGAATATCTTATTGCATTTTCACTTAAACGAAGTGTTGACTGGCTTCTTGTTCATATATTCTAATTATGGACCTCACCACTCTTCATCGGGGGTCGTTATTGTTAGTTACAGACCTAAAGACACTGTTGCTTTAAGTGACCAGTTGTTGAGGGCCTGAGAGATGGGCCAATGGTTAAGAGCACTTGTCGAGGACTGAGTTTGGTTCTCAGCACCCATGCCAGCAGCTCACAACTGCCTGTGACTCTAGTTCCAGGGGATCCAACAACCTCTTCTGGCCTCCATGGGCTCCTGTGCACATGCGTGCACACACACACACACACACACACACACACACACACACACGCACACACACACACAAATA